CTTATGTGGTGCTGAGGAATCGAACCCAGGGCGTCAGGCATGCAAGGCAAGCGCTCTACCACTGAGCCACCTTCCCAGCCCCAGCCCTGCTATTTGTGAAGCAGAGAAGAACCATATGCAAAGTGCAGAAAGATGATTTAAAAGGTTCAAGAGGTATGTTTGTGTGTGTGGTGGAGCTACATACACCTTTTTGTTTTTTTGCCAGTCCTGGGGCATGAGCTCTGGGCCTGGGCACTGTCCCTGAGCTTCTACCACTTGAGCCACAGCACCACTTCTGGCTTTTTCTGTTTATATGGAACCTAGGGCTTCATGCATGGTAGGCAAGCACTCTACCACTAAGCCACATTCCCAGTCCTTTCATAAACACTCTGAGAGGAGGTACTGCTTTGTGGCTCAGGGTGGCCTCAAACTTCAGATACTCCTGCCTTAGCCTCCCTCCCCAATGCTGACAGCCACCACATAAGGCAGGTGGCTGATGGAGGCTGGGAAAATCATCCAAGCCCATAAGTAATCGTGACTGTAGATAGCCTGCCGTGTCCTTACAGAGGGGAAAAAAGAGCAGGTGCAATGTGGAAACACCGACACAAAATAGAGACCAAATTGCAGGCCACCAGTGATGGATGTCCAGAATCCACGCCGTAGAGAGTGTTCCGATCAGTCAAACCACACCGAAGAGACATTCCGACCTATCAGAGCCCACGCCTTAGAGCCAGCGCTCTGACCTGTCAATCAAACCACGCAGTAGAAAGAGCGTTCCGAACTGTCAAGCAGAATTCCCGCAGTCCAGACAGCTCTGACCTGTCAATCAAGAGGTCCTGCTTGGCTGGAAAGCGCCCTTGACAATTAGGCTCACTCTAACTCGGGCGCCCCAGAGCCCAGGTCCCCGGGCGCCGCCCTTTCCGAAGGTGTCCTCCAAGACACGGGAGAGTAGGAATAAAGCCAGGACACGGAGTTCCACGCTGGGACACTTGGACACTTTCCAAGGCCAAGAAGGTCCAAGTCGCCGCCACCTCTGGTGTGGATGGGGCGGAACCGAGAGGTGCCACTCATGGGCCCCAAGAATTCTAAATGGCTACTTGCCGGCGAGTGATGTTTCGCGCAGCCAATCGAAAGACAAGAGTTTCAATCACGCACGAGGTATCCGGATTCTGATTGGGGTACTAGCCCAGAAAAGGTGGGGCTTCGGTTGCAGTAAGCCAATGAGAAACCTCACCTCTGAATTTCTCTTTAGAACCGCTGGGGGTGGGGCTGGGCAAAGTCCGGGGCGTTAAATCCAAACCTGGCCTGCAGTAGTGCGCGCTGATTGGGTGGCGCGGAGCTGGGAGGAGCCAATCAGAAGTCGCCGCTGGCGGGGCTGGGCGCGGCCCCTCCTACTCTACCTGAGTGCGCGGCGGCGGGTGGATCGCTGCGCGGCGCCCCGCGGGTTCGGACTCGGACGTCGGATCGTGGCGGGTGAGCCGGGCACAGCACGGGGAGGCAGAGGCGACCTCCGGGTCCCGCGGGGTGGGGGACGTCCCCGAGAGCCGGGAGGCTTGCAGAGAGTCTCGGGCGGGCACTCGGGTGCCTCGGGTCTCCTCCAGCACCCCGCTGCACCCCACAATCGCGGAGGACCTGGCGGCCCCGTCCCCCTCGCTGCAATCAGTGGCGGGGCTGGGACCCCAGAAGGAAAGCCTGGGACTGGAGAGGCGGGCGGGCCCAGCCCCCCGGAGCGGTTAGAGTCCCTGCAGATCCGCCCCTGAGCCCCACCTGGAGGAGTCGGATGGCCCTGGAGTGGTGGGGTGCGGACAACCTTGGGGTCCTCAGGGGCCAGGCGTGGAGCGTTCGATTCGCGTTCCCCAGCCTTGAATGCACAGAGCAGAAGATTGCAGAAGAAAGGTAGATTGAGAGGTGCCGAGCTGCAGTTCGTTCACTGGCCCCGGGGAGAGAGGGAAGAATGTTGAGGGGTCTGGTTCCATCTGTGGCACCAAGTGCAGAGGTGAAGGCCCGACACCCCCCCCTCCCCCCGCGCCCCGGCTCTGAGAGCAGGACAAAGATCAAAGATCGTGAGCGCTGACACCAACCTTGAAGTTGGAAATTCTTGGTTCCTGAGGGTTTTTCGAGAGCAAGAAATAAAAACCAGCAAACCTGTAGGATCTGGATCCTTCCTCCTCTTGCCATATTGTGTATGTGGGTGCGCGCGTGCACGTGTGCCAGTATTAGGACTTGAACTCAGGGCCTCATGCTCTTGACTTGCTTTTTTTTTTGGAGGGGGGGGTCTGGTTGTGGGGCCTGGGCGCTGTCCCTCAGCTCTTCAGCTCAAGGCTAGTGCTCTACCACTTGAGCCACAGCGCCACTTCTGGCATTTTTCCTTTTTTCTCTTATGTGGTGCTGGGGAATTGAACTCAGGGCCTCAGGCATGCAAGGCAAGCGCTCTACCACTGAGCCACCTTCCCAGCCCTTGATTTGCTTTTTTGCTACTACTTGAGCCACAGCTCCAGGCTTTTTGCTGGTTGCCTGGAGATAATAGTCTCACAGATTTGTTCCCCCCAGGCTGGCTTTGAACCTTGATCTCAGCCTTCTGACTAGCTAGGATTCCAAGCTTTGCCCAGAGATTGTGGTTCCTGTTTCTTCCTGTGTATTTGTTTACTTTCAAGAGCAGATCTATTCTGTGTCTCGGCTTAGAGTCCTTTAGGTACAAGGTGTGGAGGGGAAGGCCTGTTAGAGCCCCCAAAGAGAATCTGAGCAGTTTGTTATCAGAGCTTGAAAAGACATTTAGGGGATAATCTATTATAGAGTGGTTAATCAAAGTTTCAGTGGTCTGGGAACCGCAGTGAAACTTAAGTATAACATACTTCTCCCCTTGGCAACTTTTTGGTATGACATATTGTCTTTGCTAACAATGCAGGCCTGGGGCTTGAACTCAGGCACTGTCCCTGAGCTATTTTGCTCAAGGCTAAGCCACAGCTCCACTTCTGGTTATTTGCTGTCTTATTGGAGATAAGAGTCTTAGCAGTTTGCTGATAAATTGGAGATGGAATCTCAAGGATTTTCCTGTCTGAGCTAGCTTCAAACTAGGATCTTCAGATCTCCTGAGTTGCTGGGATTACAGGTGTTAGCCACAAGTACGTGGCAAAAACAGGGCTTTTCTAGAGCTCCACATAAGGAAAATGTTCTGAATCAGAGAGAGATTAACCTCTGTTCCTTTCAACTTTACCAGCTAATCATTCAATGAGGCTTTGATGGCTTATACCTGTAGCCCTAGCTACTGAAAAGGCTAAGACCTAGGAAAGAGATTTGAAGCCAGCTAGGAGCAGAAAAGTCCTTGAGAATCCATCCTAATTAACCAGCAAAATGCCAGACTGGAGGCATGGCTCAGGTGGTAGAACACTATCCATGAACAAGAAAGCTAAATGAGAGTCCCAAGGCCCCTAAGTTAAAGCTTCAGTATTAGTGCATGCACGCGCGTGCGCACACGTGCACACACACACACACACACACACACACACAACACACACACACCAATAATTTGTATCAAATTCAGAATTGTTCTCATATCCTTAGCACTTTGGGAAGTGAAATTTAATTTCAGGCTTTCCTCTATGAGTTAATACTTCAGTTCATCTTACAAATGAATCCAGGCCTTAAACCAGTTTATATTTATTTATTTTTGTTGGTCATGGGGCATGAACTTAGGGCCTATGTGCTATCCCTGAGCTTTTTTGCTCAGGGCTAGCACTCTACCATTTTTTTTTTTTTTGGGTCCAGTCGTGGGCCTGAACTCTGGGCCTGGGCGCTGTTCCTCAGCTCTTCAGCTCAAGGCTAGCGCTCTACCACTTGAGCCACAGTGCCACTTCTGGCTTTTTTTTTTCTTTTTATGTGGTGCTGAGGAATCGAACCCAGGGCCTCAGGCATGCAAGGCAAGCGCTCTACCTCTGAGCCAACTTCCCAGCCCCCTTTTTTTTTTTTTTGGTCTGTTGTGGGGCTTAAACTCAGCCTGGGCATTGTCCCTCAGCTCTTCAGCTCAAGCCAAGTGCTCTACCACTTGAGCCACAGCACCACTTCCTGTTTTCTGAGTGGCTTATTAGAGATAGCAACTTCATGGACTTACTTGCCTGGGCTGGCTTTGAACTGTAGTCCTCAGATCTCCTCCTCCTGAGTAGCTAGGATTACAGGCGTGAGCTACTGACACCTGGCTTTTTAAAATTTCTTTAGATAAATTAAAAGGAAGGAAAAATGGAAATGGAACATAAAGGTTTTATAAGAGGCTTCAAATAACTGAATGCATGTGAATTGTACTTAGATAATAATTTGAGCACCTAATACTTCCCAAGGAGTTAACTGAGGGTGTGACTTTGTGATAGAGCTTTCAGGTAAAAGGTAAAAGCCTACAAGCTGGCTCTGTGAATAAGTGAGCAGGGCATGTCTAAGAGGCCCCAGTGGTCCTGGGCTGGAGACCTGGGGCAAGTTTCCATAGCAATAAAGTGTTCAGATAGGTTTTACAATTCAGTAATGTGTGGTTACTTCCCACCTACAACGAACACTTCCCTGCCTTTCTTGTAGCCTTACCCCTCGTGAATTCAACTCTTACGGAGCCCGGAGAGGCAATGATGCCGTGATGACAAGAGGCACTTTTGCAAACATCAAGCTTTTTAATAAATTTATTGGAAAGCCAGCTCCCAAAACAATCCATTTTCCGTCAGGACACACGGTAAGGCAGGCGCTTGGTGATTGGGGCATGCCTGCTTCTGGCGATCTGCATTTGTGCTAAGGATTTGTGTGTCTGATTACCTCCATAGATGGATGTATTTGAAGCTGCGGAACTGTACCAAAAAGAAGGTATCCCACTGATTATTTTAGCAGGAAAGAAGTATGGTTCGGGGAATTCAAGAGATTGGGCCGCCAAAGGGCCGTATTTACTGGTATGTCTTCACATTCATTTTCTTACAATGAGGAGTGGGGAGAGGGACAATAACAGGAGTGGGTCTGAGCAAGGTTCACATGTGACATGTCGCAGTGAACCCTCCCTGCACAACTACTTGGTGCTATCAAAAAGGGCCGGGGGTAGGGGAGGTTGATTATCTTGACAACTTCAAAGAAATTGCCTTCTTCCTCTGTCAGGAACATCCTGTCAGAGTTTATTTTGCTTATTTGAACTTTTTTGCAATTATTTGGACCTCATAATTGAGAGTTTCAGTTCAGTAAGGTTAAATAATCTTTGTACTCACATAGTTACATCTGTAAGTCTTAGGTGAGGATTCATTTCATTACCAGTAGTAGCTGTGCAGGCAGATATTCTAATTCTAGGTTCTTGGACACACACAGAAGTAAAGTAACAAGGAGTTTAATAGAAAGCCCATCGTTATGAAAACAGCGGCCGAGCTGAGGGGCTCGTGGTTGAAGAAATTCTGGCTCTGCAGGGCTCAGAGAGTTGGGAGTTCAGAGCAGCAGTGGCAGGCTGGCACACACAAGGCTGCCGGCCCACAGTTTTAAGTTTATGTATGAGATGCATTCATGCAACTGTATGCATGGCACCTTTAGGAGTTGGTTGCACAAGTCAAGCCAAGGACTTTCCCTGGGGCATGTGCTTCAGTTTACTAGTTTCTCTGCCACTGGAAGGACAGGTCCTGCAAAGCAAACTGACCACTGATGACCCAAGGAAATAGTAGGAAACAGGATCAGGGCCAGGCAGGGCGGGGCATGGGGCTGGTTTCAGCATTTCTCTGCCATAGCCTAGTCATCCTCAGTATGTGAGAGACAGAGAGGAATTCTTAAGCTGTTGCATTATAGTCATTATTTGTGCCCATTCATAGTTTGGCTTGCCTGGTTTTTGTTGTGTTTTCTCTGATTTGTTCCATTAGCACCTAGGAGACTTAGGTGATGGGCTGAGTCTTACCTTGCTCACCTCCAATAGATTCTGCTGCCAGTTCTCTAGCAGAAGATGCTTCTCTTCAGACTGCTTGTTTGTTGTTGTTGTTGTTTATTTCCTTTTTGTGGTAGGGGTGGTGGGCACCTGCACTTGCTGACATTCCACATGAACAAGAAGCAGAGTGCAGGCCTCTGCCACCTTCTTTTAGGAGGCGTTGTCTCTTCCCTAAAATGTCAGTTCTCAGGAATTGTAAGCCAGGTATTATCTTTCTGAGATCGTAATTCTAAGTATTTCATTAATTATTGGACTAGGCTCCTTTAATTTTAAAACCTTCTGTTTATTTACAGTGCAGTTTTGCTCTTGACAGCCTATTCATTTAGACTTTTTTTTTCTTTTTTGATTTTTGGTGGGTCATGGGACTTGAGCTCTGGGCCTGGGCATTGTCCCTGAGCTCTTCAGCTCACGGCAAGTGCTCTACCACTTAAGGCACAGTGCCGCTTCCAGTTTTCTGGTAGTTAATTGGAGATGAGAGTCTGAACAGACTTTTCATGCCTGCTGGCTTTAAACCCTGATCCTCAGATCTCCCCGTCCTGAGTAGTTAGGATGACAGGCGTAAGTCACTGGCACCTGACTCATTTAGACTTTTCTCAAAAACTGATTTATGTTCCAAGTGGCACATACCTGTCATTCTATCTACTCAGGAGGCTGAGATAAGTCTTTGGATTGCAATTTGAAGCCAGAAGTGGGGCTGTGGCTCAGCTGAGAGAGTGCTAGCCTTGAGCAAAAGAAGATCAAGAACACTGCCCAGTTAAAGCTGCAGATAGCTTCCACCATACTGAGGCTTCACCTCCTATTTTCTGCATTGAGAACAGGGGACAATCTCTCCCTTCTTTGACCCTGTTAATACCACAAGAAATCCTTGCCAGACCTCCTCTGTGGATGTGTCTCATGGATGGACCTCAGGGAGCTGTGATTTAGTGTGGAAACTGGGAAACAAGGGAGGGAACCACCGTCCAGTGACAGAACTTGAGCGAACCCTTCTACATGCTCAACATTCCTGTGAAGTCTAGCACCTGCTGCTTCTTCTAAGTATTTAGAGAATTTTCTCATCTGATCCCCTCTAGTGTTCTTGAAGTGGCATTCAAGAGAGGGTTCCAGTGGCCATGTATATCACACCCACCAGGGCTCAAAGGCAGTCCCCAGGGCCCTGACAGCCAAAGGAAGGGCCTCCTAGGGAGCTCTGTGTGGTGGGCCCGGCCTCTGTAAGTACCTGCCATACTGCCAGCGTACAGAGTGGTACAGTGTGTCAGAAGGGTTTGGAAAAAGTAAAATGCTTAAATCAACTTTCAGAAGTGGAAGAAGTAAAATGCACATTGGTTACAGGGCGTGAAAGCTGTTTTGGCTGAAAGTTATGAAAAAATCCACAAAGACCATCTGGTTGGGATGGGCATAGCCCCACTGGAGTTCCTTCCAGGAGAGAATGCAGACTCCCTGGGGCTGTCTGGCAGGGAGACCTTCTCCTTGACGTTTCCTGAAGAGCTATCTCCTGGAATGGCATTGAACATGAAGGTACCTCGGGAATTCTCGCATGCACAGTCATGCTTTGGTCCTCTGAGGGCGGGCTGGGTGAGACTGAGGAAGAGGCAGTTGTAACTGCGTAGCAATGCCAGTCATGTGCACCATTGGTAGTGGACGTTGCTTTGCTTCCTCCGGCCTTCAGCATTCTCTGTGTGCTCAGGCCATGAGGAGGGTGCATGGGGACTCTTGGCTTCCCTTTCCACCGGCCAGCATCAGGGAAAAGGAGGAGATGGATGGATGGTGGCATTGATGTAATGAGTGCTTATCATTGAGTGGTCCAAAGCTAACCCTTTGGTAGTGTTTTCTAGGACACATGATACTTGCTCTCTAGGATCAGGGATGAAACACCTGTCTTTCTACTTAGCTGAGGAGCCATTGTGAGACACCTTGGTGGTTTCAAACCACAGAAAGGTTATAGGCAATCAAAGTTGAAATTACACTCAGGAAAGTCGGGCAAAATAGGGCCAGATCATGATCATGTTTATGAAGACAAATGATTACTGTACCTTGGAAATCTTGACACTCATATATATGTTCTTTGTTTCAAGACAAGCACTGGAAAGGTATTCAGCGTGATTGCTTCATTTGAAAACGATGTGGAAATAACCTTGTTCAAACATGGAGGATTATTAAACTTTGTGGCACGGAGATTCTCCTAGTATCTTCTCCCCGCCATGCCAGGCGCGGGTGATGGTAACTGCAGACAGTCTTTCATGCCGGCCCCAGGGGTCCTTGCTACGGCGCCACAGCAGGTCCAGTGTCCTGGACGTAAGTGATTGTGATCAATATAGTGACTGAAAAGCGATCTTTTTAAATACTATACGAATGGTGCTATTAACACTGCTGAAATCAACGTGTGGTGTGTGTTGTGGAAGAGCCTGTAAGTATGGGTGGGGGTATTTTATCAGACCATTTTGTAAATAAAAGGCAGAATTGGACCTTGTGTTGGAAATTCTTATATGAGTAACCTTCCTGAAGTTGTCTGTTTTGCACCTGTAAAGCTGTACTGCTGTCCCGTTGCTTACAGAATGAAATAGAAGCCTGATTAGACTGGGAAGTTCTGGAAGTTGGAATGTGATTTACATAGGTGGACTTGAGTGTATGAATTCTTTGGCAGAATGGAGCTGAGCACAGTGGGCATTCCTAACTTGTCCAAAGCCAGGTTTACCCGGGCCTAACTCCACCGGTTTGAGTCTGTTCCAGGGCGCCATCTTCTGTGCTGTGCAGCCAGTCCCTCCACATCTGAAGATGGACCATGGTCCTCTGTGTGTGGGTGTGTGTATGTGGGTGGGTGTGTGGGTGGGTGTGTGTGTGTCACATGTGCTAAAGTATGAGCAGGATGCAGCCCTGAGTGCTCGCTGATGGCATGGTGGCCCCCCAAGGGGCACAGGCCACATCCTGTTCATTGCTTTAGCTTATTTTGCTCATTTCTTGTGATGCTGTAACTTCTGTAACCTGATTTAATTATCACTGAGTTCTCCCCCACCCCCCTTTGGTGGATGCTGGAGGAGAACCCTGAGTCTTTCAACGCTTACCTGATTCCTCTGAGATTTCTCAGTCCACACCTCATGATATGGGTGCTTGCCCCTACGCATTTAAAAACATGTAATCTCTCAGTGACGTGAGCTGATTTCCTGTCCGGGGTTCATGGCTGTTGCAGTTTGCTTAGGGCTGGCCACAGCTGGCCGGAGCAGTGAAGTTTCTTCTGTTCAGGGCCGAGCCCTGCGCGAGTCTGATCCCACGCCACAGCAGCATCCTGACAGCGTGGGCATCCTTTCCTAAAACAAGATTTGACCATCTCAGAAGGTCCTATACTTTTCTAAGAAGTTAGCTTATTAGTAGCAAAAGGCCATTTAGAATGATCTTTACCATGTGGAGCTTTCATAGCTGCTGCAATTCAGAGGTCGCTTTCAATGCACAGAATAAGAAATTACTTACCGGAAGTGG